CCTAGGATGAAATTACTGCCGGGACAATCACATCAATATTAGCAAACATACTTAAGCCGATAGACACTCGAACACATATACATGTATTAAAAACAGACCATATGGTACACCTATGTGCACATTAAACGTGTTTTGTGACGGAATGTTATAATAGTTTATCTTAAATCCATTCTTTCAGCCAAGTGATTTACTTGCTTCTTTTTAGTTATTTTGTTTTATTTTATTTTTTACCAGTCCTGGGGCCTGGGTGCAGTTCCTGAGCTTCTTTTGCTAAAAGCTAGTGTTCTACCATTTGAGCTACAGCTCCACTTCTGGCCTTTTTGGTAGCATATTGAAGATAAGGATCTCACAGACTTTTCTGCTCTGTTTGACTTTGAACTGCAATCCTCAGATCTCAGCCTCCTGAGTATCTAGGATTACAGGCTCTGGGCCTGGGCCCAGCTCAGCTATGTAATCTTATTCTCTTCTTTCTTTTCTCCCTTACTTGTCTTTCAGTTTCTTCAGTGAAGAATCCCCAGGGATAGCTATGTACAATATATTTAGCGAAAAGCAATGTTTTCCTAACCGAAGTGTCAACTCTCTTGTATCTGAGCTTAGTTCTAGGTCTGTTAAAATGGAGGCCCTTAGCATAATTTAAAGACAACATCTCAAAAATCATATGCTGTATTTGTGTCTTTTAACTCCGACTCATGCTTGACATTTATAGACATCTGAAAATCCATTTTCCTTTATATTTCCTAACAATGACTCTAGTGTGTTTAAACATTGGCATTGTTCCATTAGAATTCTTTTCCTCTCAGCAGTTAAAGGGGCAAATTACCTCAAGCCTGTTGATTAGGAGACAGGATTAAAGCAGAGTAATTATTTTTTTTTCTGTGAACAAGGCAATTATGCAATTGATAAACCAGATAATTCCATAATCTCAACCAAGTTGGTTTATAGTTGCATCAATTTTCTTTTAAAGCTCCTAATAAAACCAAAATTTCAGCATAACCAAGGATTTACTCTTTTGGCTACTTCTGTTATTTAATGCATTCAAATTTAATTCTGATTCTCATAAGCATCCTGCTTCTGTCCCTCAGGATCTATAGTATTGTCTAATATCCACTTGCAATGGAGGCATCAATGAAATGCTCATGTTGGGGCTGCATTATTACTAAATGAGAGAAATTCTCTACTGGGAATAAATGTGCAAGCAGACCTTATAGGAGTTGCCATGCACATTTGAACTTGGACTCTATGGTGCTATGAAATGTTCAAGGGACAAAGTGTGAAGACCTCTGGGGGATTTCATGGAAATAGATGAATCTAGTTGTACTTATCACTGGAAGATCTCTTGAGCTACTAACTCAAATCACAGGAAACCATCTTGCATACACAATGTACCTTTTAATGGCATCAGACTTTCAAACTTAAGTCTTTAGACAGGAAAAAATTAGTTTTCTGAGTATATACAAAGAAGTGGAGTGAATTATTATCTCCTGGTATTTTCTAGTTTTGATCTTCTTTCCCCTGAAATGCTGTAGTGAAATGTATTTATTTCACATTAGGATGAAATTTGTGATATAACCCTAAGTTAATTTCATCTCAAGGAAAATTTCATTAAAATAGATAAAGTCTTTGTTTCAAAAAGAGAGAAACACAGCTAATACATTTTACCCAGCTTTCAGCATTTCATTAAAAGTATAATGTTCAAAATGACATTTTCATGATAGAATAACCCTGACAAAAAGAAAATCTGATAGGATGGTGAAATAACATCATGATAGATCAACTAAATGTAGGCAAGCCACCAAGTTGGGAAAGAAGTTCACCCATTAGTATAAAATCAACATTTGCCATGGTGTTAGGACCAGTTAATTGTAAATGGACATGGCTGGATTGTTATCTGTACTGAGGATTTTTTAAAAAAATGTATTTTGATGAGATGCAGTCCAGGTCTTTCTGGATCTTATAGATAGAATTCAGTTGGCAACTCTGACTCATGACTTTGTTTATACACTTGTGCTTCAGTACATCAGAAAAGCTATTTTTTCTTATAGTTTCTAAGAATGTCTCTCAATTACAGAGCCTAAGTCTGAATCATTTCTGGTTTCCTTTTCTAGCTTACATCCATCTTCCTTCTTGTATGTATGCCCATTATGACATCTTTCAGACTCCATCAGGGATACAGGAAAGACATGCAACATTTTACTGACTTGAAAGTATGCAGAGAAATGTATTTCCAATAAGAAAAATTATGCACATTTTTTTCTCTTGCCCATGCATGGCAACAAGGAAAACAGAAAAATATGTTAATATTTAATAAGGCTGCCAGAATAGCCTGTTTTCTTTTTTTTACTTCAAAAGCCCACATTTGGCTTTTGCTTTTGTTCTTGTGATCACATTTTGCCTTTTTCTTTTATTAATTGCGGATATTCTCATTGTTAGCATTATGATGATGATGATGATGTTTTTGTTATTGTAGTTTATTTGCTTTGGAATACTTATAGGGAGACTCTCACTATCCTAAATGCAATTGTATTTCCTAATCACTCTTTCTTTCTACCTACTACATAATTTTTTTCATTGATTTATTACCAAATAGTTATGATGTTTCTAGGTCTCTATTGCCCCTACCTTTTTTCTCTCTTTGGCTAAGCTAGGATCACTTCTATTTGCCACTGTGACTCCTGCCAAATTTCCCACCTCTATTACAATTAATTAGTCTTCATAGTTGATCTACATTTTCTTCTCTTTCTTGTCTATTTCTCATTCTGGGGGGAAATATGAAATGTTTTATTTCATCTCACCACTAAAATTTTTGGTAGTTCTACAATTTTGTGTGTACATATAAAGAAGGCATCTTTGTCCTGTCTCAAATACAGTGTAGGGTTGACTGAGAAAATATAAATATGCAAACTGGCGATGTTAGATATGTAAACTTCTATGGAAGACCAAGGAAGGGAATTGATTCACCCAGAAACAATGGAAGGTCTTTTACATTAGAAAAGCCAAGCTCTCCCAAGTAGAGGGAACTTTGGGAGCTGTCAAAAAAATTGATCTTATATAGTTTATGTAAATACAGTTTATAAAAGAATAGCAGTATTCATTGAAATGCAGTTCAAGAGGAGAAAAAACCGTGACATTAATAAATTATAGAATTTTTAGTAATTGCCCCATTTCTCTAAGTCATTGTAGTTAAGGCACTACGTAGCAGGTAAATCACAAAAATGTGGTCATGCTTTGGCTAAACCTTTCCTGCTCTGTTCATTTCTTCTCGAGAACCAGGGTAAATGCCATTTGCAAAGAGAGACATCCCCAGAAGAATCAGGAAAAAACCACTAAAAATGATGGTTCATTTCTATGTCACTTAAAGTAGCAATGGCAACATTGATATTTATTACTTTTTACATTTTGTAAAGGTATCTTGACACTAATAAACAATGAGGTGCTCATAAACGTGAACATTTTTCCATCTCTGGACCGTCTCTTGTGAGTCTTTTTCCATGAATAGCTTAATAGAAAATTATCTCTGCATTTTATGAAATACTATAGTGTTTTATCTAAACTTCCTGAGGGCCTTTTAACTATTTCTAATACTACAAGCATTCACACAACATCCTTACCTCTAGAATTATTAATAGGTACACACACACACACACACACACACACAAAACACCTGTTTCATCTTTCAACTTTCGAAAGCACTAAGCAGTTCATATATTGCATATATAGCCCAGGTATTAAATGAGCAATCCCATTGAAAGCTGAATCTTGGCTTTTTCTCAACATATTTTTATTGCAAATATTGACTTCCAAAGCAGTGACCACAAAACTATAGGAAAGGAGACAATGTTGAAGGGTTGTTGGTTTTTTTCCAGGAAAATTGAGCTCTATGCTTCCTGACCTCTTTTGGAAATATTTTTAAATAGGAATACTTGCTTTGCCAATTTTGACATCTTTTCTGGGTATCTTCAGAAGTGTAGCACTTAGAAATAAGTGAATTTGGAACTTAGTTGTAATGCTTATATTTTCCAGCAATAAAAATCAAAACTCAAAGAAAGCAATGCAATTAAGTTGTGAATAAACAAAATCAAAGCAATGCAAAAATTACCACATAATATCTAGACTGTGAGTTTCTCTTTTTATAAAATATTATAAACACCTTATAATGCATTATGTTAAATTAAAATATAAAAACAACCATCATTTAATATATGTATTTAAAAATGAAAGCATCACAAGAATTCAATTTTATTAATAATTTTCCTCATAACATTTTTCCAAATGAAAATTAAAATAAACCAAATGGATAAAAGAAAAACTTGACTATCTAGTACATTTCTGTGATGTCAAACAAGAAAAACATAAAAACTTCTTCCATCTACTTTTCATTAAACAATGAAAATATCTACCATCTTTGGCATGTGCATTTTATAATTCTATACTCTTCTTTATCTCCACATAAAAATTCAAATAAATAAATAGATAGTGCAAACAGGTGGTAATTTAAAATTTCTTAGATATTAAATGGCAGCCTCTTCTTGCAAAGTCCAAAACTTAAAAAGTCCTGGAAATGTGTAAAAAGGCATATTTTATATTGAGCTTTTAACTTCATTTTAAGGTACATACTTAAAATATAAACCAAATATTTTGGTATAGTCATTAAATCTGGCATGCATCCTTATGGGTGTTCATGATAGTCAAGACTATCATTTGCTCTTGTATTCACTTTCAGTCATAGTTCCACTGAAGCCAAAATAGAGATGATGTTAATCTTTGTCACTAGTATGATTTGTGTAAAAGAGAACCCACAAGGGAAATTCTGAAATATGGCAAGCAACAAGTAAAATTGAAGATGTTTAAATTAGTGACTAATTGAAAAAAATGCTAAAATAAGAGGAGCTGTACTTGTCATTTCTGTTTTAAAATACGCAGACCAAATCATTTGCACAATAAACTGTTCAGACACCTAGAACATTCTCAAAGGCTTAGCTTAAGTTTAAAGTAGAACGAACCTTTAAAGTTTGGCCTGATTCTTGCATCATATCCTGATGTCCTTCCCATTAGTTTGTCCAAGAAATCTGAAGGAGATAGGGTCTGTGAAGGTTGTTTTCCAGACCTGGAGTCATGGTCTTTGCAGAAAGCCTCCCTAAAGAGATCATTAACTCTTTTAGCAATAATTCCATTCTCATCCACTGAGAACTAATACAGCATATTGAAATGGCATTTTGGGAAATATATTTGCTACTTTCATATGGAGAACACAAATGCTGTAATCTTTAGAACGACTAAGTCAAGACCCAACAAAATATGTACTTGAAGGGGGGAGGAGGAGAAAGGGCTAGAAGAATGAAGGGGGAAGGGAGTAGAATTCAGGCAAGAATGCATTGTATGTGCCACAGAATTAAGAAAAATAAGGGAAATTGTATGTCGGGGGGTGAAGAATTTGAAGGGATGACACAGATATCAAGTGCTTTGTATACATAAATTGTTCTTTGAATGGCAAAACTTCAGTACGTAACCTGAAAATGAAGGAAAGAATGGGAGAGGTGGGGGAGAATGTGGAAAGGGTGACATTTGACCAAGAGGCAGGCACTGTATTCATAAACTGCTTTGTGGAATGACAACTCTTTTTTACAACTACCTAAAGAAAAGAAAAATGGCATTAAAAAGGAAGAAAAATAGGAACACTGATCAACTGCTTAACTTGTATGTAAAGTTAACTTTAAAAGAAGTATAAATCCTGAGTCATGTCTCCTAAGTTTCCAAACTTTAACCATAAGATATTTGAGATGAAATAATAGATATAGATTTAGGTTGCAGCTTGTATGTATCTATAAAAATTGAAGCTATTTATTTCTAGAATTATTAGACATGTGGAGATGACAATTTTTGAAACTGTTGTAATGATACAAAATTATGTTCTTATACTTTAAAAAATATTTCAGGACTGCATCCTTAAATATAAGTCTTCTCTCTCTCATAAGACATAAATAAAAAGATGGAGTAAACAAAGTGAGCAGTGTAATCTATTATTTTATACATACATTCTCACCTTCTAGACTATATTCCAGTTGCCAACTATTAGTATTTTTCAATGTGGTGTCTAAAAGAGAACTTTTAGATTGAATTTTAATGTCGTTTTAAAAATAGGTAAATAATGAGCATATCTATTGTTTCCATTGTTTGTTATGAGTTGTTATTTGTTTGTGAGTATTCAAATTGTTGACCCTCCAATAAAGTATTAATAAAAATAAACTTCGAAATCACCACTCTTTCATTTTATCAAAAATCAAAAAGTTGAATTGCCATATTTTCATATCTATGTTAAAGTAATAAAGAACTTATGAAAAGACCATATTGAGTTTATAGGAAAATTATTTCGTAGGCATAGTGGTTGATTGTCACTAAAGTATAATTTTATGAGCTTTGTTTTCAACAGTTTAACACTTGTTAATTCTGAAACTGAGATAATGCCAAGTTATTGTCAGATTTTCAAAGAAAAGCCTTGAAGTACAAGAGCTAAGATGATATAAACATTTATTAGGAGTAAACGTTGATGTAATTATCAAGAAATACTCACATTCACATATGCAGATTCATCTTATTAATCAAGTGTTATTTGATTATGATGGTAGTGGGAATGATGATGATAATGATGATGATGATAGTGATGATGATTCTAAAGAAACCCAGCCTATAATCTCTCTTAATCATAGTAGGACATGTGAACCTGAAAGGAACATAGTAGGATTTTCCCAGTATCCATAGCATTATTTCTATGTGTTCCATTTCTCTTGATTCTGTGAAAAAATACCATAAAATTTGATAAAAAATTAAATGAAAGGTCCTATACTTTTTATAAGAGCATCTTTTATCTCATTCCTGTCTTAGACTCTCTGCCTGCCATTAGGTGGTTATTTCAGTTACTGATAATAAAATTCATATTTTAAGGTACCAATTGATTTGACAATTAGAAAAATATGCAAAAATCCACATAGGCAAATAATGACTTCTCACTTATTTTAACTATACATCCCCTATTTCTCATACAGGCATCAATACATAGATGTCATTTTAATTAAAATTTGATAAGCAATCAATTTCCAAAGTGAATAGAGTAGTAAAAAGAGATTTTTGATACTTTAAGAAAATTCATGAAACATAATCCTCATAGTACGCTTCTTTTAGTTGATGAAATATAATAGAAGTCCCAAGTTGGATGAGAATCAGGGTTCTTTTATATTTTATATAAAATGAGCATGCTCCAGGGAAATTAATCTAATCAACTCCACCATATGAAAAACATTACACCCAATGTTCCCTTTAAATCACTTCCAGAAGAATTTGAAAGAAAAACGATTAACCTTATATAGAAATATAAAGAGCATGCAACTCATCAGACTACCTTTGTATCGCATTGACTGTGAAAATGTGTGTGGAAATGCCTAGAGTACAGCTATGTAACATAAAACTTGCTTTTGTGATAATTTGCCACCCTCCCACCATAATTAATCTTTTTTAATGAACAAAAGAAATCCAACTCTCTTCTCCAAAATTAAAATAGTACAATCCAGAGCACCCCAAAACATAGATAATTGCATGATACTCTTCGTTCGCAACAGTTTTCATGTGGAAAATATCAGCATGCAAAGTCGTTTCACCTACCTGAAGTGGTTTGTCTCTAAGAAAAATGCAAACAAGGCTGTCAAAATGTTCACTAGCTGCCGGTTCATTCCTGTTTCTGTGATGCTTGTGGAAAATATTCCGAAATGATTCCAGAAAGAAGCTAGGACAAAGTATCTATTTATTGTCCAGATTCAAAATCTGGCAGGAATCTAGTTTCCTTGAAAATCAAAAAGAGATTTGGGGTTGTATAGTTTGCTGAGAAAAGACAAAAAGTGCCAGTCCTGGGCATCATGGTCAGGTCAAACCGAGGCTCAGGACCATCAGTTAGTCCAGGAAAGACAAAGCCTCAGAACTGATGAATCCCCCAGCTGCTTTTCCTGTATAATAAAAATGCTGCTACCTTAATCGCATCACCATGCAAAGGGGGCTGGTGACAATGCCATGCTGGAAGTCGGGTGGCTGTGGCTTTTGTTTTGAATAGCAAAGCCCTTTCTTCCAGAAAATGTTCTCTTTTTAAAAGAAGTTGTAAATGAGGGAGAGAAAAAGACTCTGTGCGCTGGAGTGTTTGAGGGAAAGAGGGAAAAATTGCTGAGATCCTGTGCTGGAATGAGGGCTACTGAAAGAGACGGAGACGTGATCTTACCCAGCCTATAAATTTCAGCACTCGGACAGCTCCTAGCTCTGAAGTGCGCATGTTTCCCTTTTTGGTAGCTTGGGGCGGGGGTCGGGGAGAAGCATTCTAGAGGGGACGTGCCTGCCGAGAGTGACTGGCTGTACTGACAGGGGCGCGATGACAATAGAGGGGCACAGAGGTCAGAGGAGAAGAGGGAGGGTGAGCAAGTCTAGGGTGTGAGCTCCTGGAAATGTTAGTCTGTGGGTGGGTGGGCGGGACGGGAGTTGGAAAGCGGAAGAGAGAAGGGAATAAGGTTTAGGCATGAGAAAAGAAAACTGCGGACACAGAGAACATGGTTCAGAATACTGAGATTATAATAAGGGTGTGGGTAGCTCACTCCTTGTCAGTGGAAGCCGGAGGTAAAAAAGAGAAGTCCTGTGCTGAAGTAGAGAGGACATTTCTTTGGCATAGAGAAGGAATCGCGTGTGCAGGGAACGGTTCGTGAAGATCACTAATTTAATTTAACATCCCTTTACGACTTCCTCCCTTCTTGAAGGTTTGTGTTTGATTTTAGCCGCTTCTGCTTCTTCCCAAAGGATCCCTCTTCCTATGGACCAGGGAAAGCCCCTTAACACTAAGCTTTCTTCAGTGGCTCAAAATCCTTGGGAATCTTCTCTTCAAGTCACATATATCTAGGTAGAGGAGTAGAGAAGGAAAAGACAGCGAGCCAGCAGGGGGCAGTAGTAATCTTTTCTCCCTTGGTTAAAGGTTAGAACTGGGCTCCAGATTAACAATGGAGCAAGGAAAAGTGAGACTGAGGCTTTCATCTGTCCATCCGAGATGTTAATCACCCACAAGGATCATGTAACAACACATAGAGCTTCTATACTGGCTAGAGAGTCTGAAAATACAGTGAGAGTTTATAAGTCCAGTGCAAAAGTGTGACTGATAACATTGCCATCTCAAATTGGGAGAAACAATAAGTATTTCAACACAAGTAATTAGCACCTTTGGAAAGAGGGCATGAAAAAATGCTTGTCCTACTATGAGTAGAGTAAATTTTTGTCTGTAAATGTACCTTGTTAGTCATCTCTGCATTTCATTGCAAAGCTTAATTTTCAAAAAATGACATCACTAATGTTTGGTCCATAAACCAAACAACTTATCCTTGGATGAGTTTATATAACATAGCAGAGTAACAAAAATTCTGTTTCTTTAATATATATATATATTATATATATACATGTTTTTCATCTTTTAATATAAATTACTTGAAGATCCTGTTGAAATGGAAGTTCTGCTGCCACTGGTCTGAATTGGAGCCTGAGATTTCTAACAAGTTCATAACTGAAGTAGGTGCTGATGATCTACAGATCACACTTAGAATTGCAAGGCTCTCTATGCCCTCTTGGAAGATTAGTATGTCACTGACAATCAGAAATACTTTTGAGATGAAATATAAAGGTGTCCAAGTATTCTGCTTGCATACAAAATCAGTTCTTTGGACATATAGAATATGTTTTATCTCTCAAAGCCTAGAAAACATGATGCAATTTAAAGGAAACAACAGAATACTGTAAAGTGAGACAGCCCTGGACTGTAGCTTCAAATCTGTTCACTACCAAATTCATCCACATGGACACTCTAGACATGATTTTATCCCTGCCATCCTGAGTCAAATAATAAAAATTCCTAGAACTATATTTCTTCAACTCGTGCTAAATTGAAAAATAATAGCTTCCCCCATAAGATTCTTTCCAAAAAACAAACGTGTAAAATTAGAAGAAAATGATTTGCCACAAATTTAAGAACATAGTGATACGTAAAGCAATATAGTCTTGTTGTATTTGCAATCATTTCTTTTGACAACAAAGCCATATTACTAGCTAGATGTAAAGTAATTTGAAACAAAGAGAGATTTTGAACAACAGCATGCAATCACAGCATTATATTATTTTAGATTTGGAAGGCACTTTAGAGAAGATGTGCCTCTTTATTTTACTTCTCAGCTCTTCTTCAGTTTGGATCCCAGCCCTGTCAATCTAGACAAACAGTCCTCATTAAGTCTGACAATGAGTTCCCTGTAACAGAGGCCAAAGGATATTTGTCTATTCTCAATTTATTTGACATTTCCATGGTACCTATGTCATTGGCCTCTCCTTTCTTAAAATATTTTCCTCTTGTGACACAGTGAACTCCCAGTTAGCCTCCTAGTCTATTATTTTAAGAAGGCATGTCTTGACTTTCATAACTCTAACAATTCTCCCTATTACAGGCTGTCTTAATACTCTGCAACTTGAATTCATGAACCACATCTGTTGCATATTGTTTGTGTATATGATTATTTGCTTTGTGTTATCATTTGGATCTCAAATGTTCCTCAAAGGCTCATGCAGTGAAGTCTTCATCCCTAGTATAGCAAAGGTAGTCTGCCTCAAAATAATCTCATAGAGATGAGGCCAAAAAACTATGAACTCAAACCTTGAAAGCAATGCGCCAAAATAAGTCTTTCCTCCTTTAAGCTGATTCTCTCTGGTATTCAGCTGCAGAAATAGAAGGCTGACTTCACACTTAGATAATTAGCTTGGAAATGAACAGAGATAGCAGACTCAATCCACCATTGTATCCTTATCTGTTCAATGGTAATGACAATAGTCATTGTTGGATTGTGATAACAAAGACTGAATTTTAAATATACACCCAGAAATGTTGCTTAAACAAAATAAAATAGGTAATTATGTATGGTTCACAAATAGATCACTCAAAAATTACCTCTTTGGGAATTAATGAGTTAAAACTCTGGTTATTTGAAAAGAAACCGAATTTATTGGCTCAGCAGTCTAGATCATGAGTGAAAACCCAAGTAGAAGACTATGAATCTGATGTACTTGATTCAAGTTCCACCTCTTACACACATTGGTTTGTGACCTTGGACAAGTCATTTAATCTTTCTGAGCTTTATAGTCTCATAGTATGTAAAATACAGAAAGTATTGTTACATATAAATTTTCTATGTAAAATTCTTTTAAAATTCACAGGAAATCTTAGCTGAGCAAGTGTTTTAGACTCTGTGTGTGTGTGTGTGTGTGTGTGTGTGTGTGTGTGTGTGAGTGTGTGTGTGTGTGTGTGTGCTGGTCCTGGGGCTTGAACTCAGGGACTGGGTGCTGTCCCTGAGCAATTTTTGCTCAGGGCTAGCACTCTTCCACTTGAGCCACAGCTCCACTTTTGGCTTTTTGGTGGTTAATTGGAGATAAGAATCTCATGGACTTTCCTGCCCTGGATGACTTTAAACTATGATCCTCAGATTTCAGCCTACTGAGTAGCTAGGATTACTGGCATGAGCCATCGGCACAGGACTTGTTTTAGGCTCTCATTCTCAGTTCCTGGTATTTACTGATTATTAAAATTTAAGTTTTGACTTTGTTTCTTGGACAATTCTACTTTCAAGGGCAGTAATTCATAAGAACTTTGAAAACACCTTATTTGCAATACAATTGAAATCCTAAGTCAAATCCTCAGATGCTTCTAACTCACCAAATTACAATTGGTTGAAACATATGGCACCTTCATTTAAACTTTTGTCAGAAAAACAAGATTTTGACTTATGCAATGATGTTATAAGGATCAGTGCACAATATTCTGCCTATATGATGCTACATTTAAATTTTAAATATCAAGAAATAGAAATATTCCTTATGAAGCTCACTATCACCTATTGACAAAGAAGCTGTAAGAACATCTAATATTTACATGACACTTCATAGTCTTTGTAGTCCATGCTACATGGAAGAACAGTCATTAATATCCAAATTTTTAATGAGGAATCTAAAGTTCAAGTAAATTGATCAATTTTCCTTGGTCTATATGATGAAGTGACAGATACTTTTGTATTTACTACCAGGCAACAAATATTTTTTGTATTTACTACCAAAATGAATGGAATAATTTCTCATCATTTGTGACTGATGTTACTTTTCATATCACTAGATGCTTACTCTATATCCACAACTTTTTTAATAGTTATATTCTGATTCCATCATGGTCAGTGCCTTTTCTTGATGGGATTTTTGTCACTATTATGTTAATATATACACAAATATCATGAATGGAAAACTTTTATTAAAAGTTTCTAACGCAATTCTTAAAGGAAAGAATGAGATTTCTAAAATATAAAGATCCTTCACCAGGATTCCTACTGAACTCTTATGAATCTTCATAAATAAAGATGGTCCTCGTCAAATACAGGCATTATTCCCTCCATTTGGTACAATTAGGTTGAAGTTAAGAAATCACCTATTAGCTTATAATTGGCACCCTTCTGTCTGAGGCAAATTAGAGAAGGCAAGAAGTTGTTCTATCAAATCTTTAATTATCATCGGATGTTTCCCCACAGAGAACCATAAAGCCAATTACAAATTAGTGAAATGCTGTTGAATTACAGGAGAGACTCACTCACAAAGAGACCATCTTTTCACTATATGACCCTATGTTAGAATAAATTTCCAGGTAAGAAAACTCTCTGGCATGAGGCTATCTGATCACTATGGTATTCATTAAACCATGCTACTCATGAGACCAATATTAGTGATTACAATTCCTCACTTACATATGATATTGTGTACAGATAGGCAGGTAGATGAGAAATGATTTGTTGGAGAGATTGGTGCATGTGATTACAGAAATTAGGAAGGTCCACATCAGGAGACAGGCTGTCTGAAAGATGAAGGTCCTGAGAGACAGGTAGCATGTCTCAATTCAACTCTGAAAACTGCAGAACAAGAGAAGAGAATTGTGTAGCTCTCAGTTTAAGACTGATGACCTGAAAACCCAAGTAATGTAAATGTGGGAGTGCAAGGTTGGCC